AGAAATCATATAACGTGTTCGCCCCACAGAACTCCACACTTACCACAATGCAGCAGTAATTTTTGAATCTATGTCATTTTCCCCCAAGCCATGGAAAAAATGGAGAGGAATCCAGCGATCTGTGTTTGCACATTTCGTTGCTGTTCAATCCCAGTGGGACTCGTAAACACTTGGCCCAACACACAAACACACAGAGCGCCTCCAAAAGGAAATGTGCTTCGAGATTGAATGGGGAAAAGTTAGACAAGGGTTCCGCTTTGGCAATTGGCAATCCTTGACCCCGTCATAACGTCTTTTTCCTCCCACGAATTCCCCCAGCTGTCAGCTGAGTTAAATGAGATATGCTTTTTACATTTTTTCGATAAATTTCCAGCACTGGCATTGGACCGAATGCTTTTAAGGGTGGGATAAAATTATTAGCGAGCGCAAATCTTAAAGTAAAAATGGCAAGCGGATTTGCGCAGCGCTTAATATTGAGATTTACTGGTAAGCAATATTTATGGCGAGCAGCAAGAAGCAAGCACGCTGAACCAATTTGGGAAACTACTCGGATATATGTACGTACCAGATTTGGCTGTTTATCTAGTGACATTGATGGATGCTCCGGGCAATTAGTACTCCGGCTATATAAGGGAAGTTCCCCTCTGGTTGATTCAAAGCAATATGCGGTCCCTATTCTTGATCAGTTTACTCTTCGGCTTGGCTTGGTCCTCGCCGGAATCGCAGCTGGCGCCCACATCCCCGGCACCTGGAAACGACACCTCCGACGAAGCCGAGATACCCGCCTTCTCGCCCTTCAGCCTGCGCGACGGCAGGTTTGCCATAGGCGCCTTCGCCAAGGTGAACTGGTTCCAGGCCCAGGCCACCTGTGCCGCCTACGGGTACACGCTGGTGAGCATTACGTCCGAGCAGGACCAGCGCAGCCTGCGCAACTTCCTCTTCGAGTACGCCCGAAACCAGCAGGAGCTCCTTGCCGATCCGCTCTGGACCTCCGGCACGGACCTGGCCAGCCAGAACAACTGGGTCTGGTTCAGCAAGGGACGGGCCCTCAACTACCGCAACTTCCAGAATGGACTGCCCGGCTACTCCAGCGATGGCCGGCAGTGCCTGGGTATCAACGGAATCAACGGACTGTGGGTAAACGAGGAGTGCGGGGAGCAGCGCTACTTCATTTGCGAGAAGCGCTGTCAGTTCGACGACGACGTTTAGTACCTCAAGTGACGAAATAGGTCCAAAAACGTTTGGTGTTGGTTCATTAAAATAGCAGCCAAATGTGTGCAAGCAAAAACAAAAAGGGGAATGCGATTTCAATTTAGAACAAATGCGGGAAAGCTTTAGTTACACAGCTTTCATCTTCTGTTTGCAGAAGGCATCGCTTTTTGGCGAGCTTTTAAATTATTTGAAGATAGGTAGGGTCATAGGTCTAACAGAAATTTGAGTAATTGAAAAACAAGCTAGTTACAACGCTTTTTGGAATATTTTTACAGATTTTTCCCTTTACAGCAATCGTAAAAGAAGGAATGCTGTAGTCGAGTACACGTCAATCAGATACCATGCAGTACCATTCAGCGCATTTTAAGCACAGAATCGCTGACTTTATAGAAAAGTGGTGTTGGCATGTCCTAAGACTCATCACTGAAATGTATTGTTCTCATCAATACCTATCGATTGATCCAAAAAGTCTGCCACGCTTACTTTAACGCCCACAAACCGCCCACAAAACTATCTCGGAAACTATCAAAGATAGAGAAATGGGATCTCAGATTTAGATTCCGTAGCCTTGTACGCAGCGCAAGTTTGTTACGCAAATATGCCACGCCCACTCTAACGCCCACAAACCGCCTAATTTGTATGCTAGACACAACATTTTAACTAAAATGTATTGGCTGTCAATACCTATCGATTGATCCAAAAAAGCAGTTTGCCACGCCCACTCTAACGCCCACAAACCGACCAAACCTGTGGCGCCCACAATTTTCATGCTAGATACAACATTTGAACTGAAATGTATTGGTCTCGTCAATACCTATCGATTGATCAAAAAAAAAGTGCCACGCCCACCTAACTCGCGTAACGCTTAAATCTGTCTACCGCCCACATAACCACATATTGAGATCACGGGTAGGTGGCGCATTTCAATCTCGCTTTGCTGCTTGTATATCTCCATTTCCCTTTGGTCCCATTAGCTGATCTTATTCTTTGTAGTGTGACCGAAGTTGTCAAAGTTCACCCGCAATGCATGTAGCATGGTCTTACTGTCAAGCAGCTGGGTTTGTTGCCAAACGGAAAACAAATCAATTGGAGATTTTTAAAAAGGAGGAGTCTGCTGGTACACGAAGAATGTTAAATAAGAATAAATGGAATGTAAATTAGTAGTTTAAAGCTTCCTTCTCATCCCACCGGCGTCCTATTTTCCTCCTCCCTATAGAAGCCAGAGTCCTCCAGCTCCGTTTAAGCTGCCAAGTTGCTGGTGGTGGTGGTGTCCAGAGTCCTAATGGAGAGGTCGACGGAGATCGTATTACTGGTGGTTCTGCTAAAAATATACTTCTATTAGTACAACGCAACCAAATTCTTTTGTCCAGATCTTACTTTCTTCGCGAGCACACGCCAGGCAGGATGTCCATGTAGAAAGCGAAGTCCCACTCGGAATGTTCCTTACCACTGGGATTCTCTAGTGGATCTCCTCCAGCACTTCAACAATTCTGCCCCTGTAGTGTGACCGAAGTGTTCAAAGTTCACCCGCGGTGCATGAGGCATGGTCTTACTGTCAAGCAGCTGGGCTTGTTGTCCAACGGAAAACAAATCAATTGGAGCAATCTGAAAAAGAAGATTTCTGGTGCACAAAGAAATAAAAATACAAATAAAAGGAATGTTAACGAATGTTTTTATTTATGTAAATTAGTAGCTTTAAGCTTAGTTCAGTTCGCGCCATCTGTAGGCCCGCTCCGAATCCCAATATGCATATTGGACCTTGAGGAAGTGGGAGCCGAGTCGAGAACGGGGTTAATTCGCCTGATGCTCCAAGAAGTCGCCCATCATCTTGGCAATGGGTGGTAATGGCTCCTCCAGCTGTCCCTTAGCGGTCGACCTTATTTTCTCCTCCCTATAGAAGTTGGCGCGTCCTCCACCTCCGCTTTAGATGCCAAGTAGCTGGAGTCCTCCATGGAGAGCTCGAGTGAAGTCCAATTTTCTTTCCCACTGGTACTCTTTAGTGGATATCCTTCAGTACTTTAACTATTCTGCGGATTTGCCCTGTTGTGGTATGGCTTCCTGTCGGTCAAGTCCCACAATAACGGGCAACAGCTTGGATTAGGCGTCCTTTTTCATCTGCATTGACCTCCTTTGGGCGTTTTTGGGATTTTCCTTCCATTTTTATACCTTTTACCCGTAGAGTAAAAGGGTATACTAGGTTCGTCGGAAAGTATGTAACAGACAGAAGGAAGCGTTTCCGACCCCATAAAGTATATATATTCTTGATCAGGATCACTAGCCGAGCCGATCTAGCCATTTCCGTCTGTCCGTCTGACCGTCTGTTCGGATGAACGCTAAGATCTCGGAAACTATGGGAGCTAGGCTATTGAGATTTGGCGTGCAGGTTCCTGAGCTTCTTACGCAGCGCAAGTTTGTTTCAGCAGAGTGCCACGCCCACTATAACGCACACAAACTGCCCAAAACTGAGGCTCCTACAGTTTTGATGCTAGAATAAAAATTTTAACTTAAATGTATTGCTCTCGTCAATACCTATCGATTGACCCAAAAAAAAAGTTTGCCACGCCCACTTTAACGCCCACAATCCGCCCAAAACAATGACGCCCAAAATTTTCATGCTAGATAAAAAATTTTAACTGATCAAAAAAAAATTTGCCACGCACACTCTAACGCTTATAACGCTTAAATCTGTCTACCGCCGGTAGGTGGCGCATTTTAATCTCGCTTTACTGCTTGCATATCTCCATATCCCTTTGATCTTTTTAGCTGAGTGACGGGTATCTGATAGTCGAGGCACTCGACTATAGCGTTCTTCCTTCCTTGTTAGTTCTTAAATTCACCACTGCTTTTGCCCAAAGATTAAATTTATTATTCTTTGGGCCGAGGCTAACGGCGATCGTCGGAATTCACTTGCTAGATCTGTTTTTTTTTTTTTGGTATTTCCTTAGTTCATCTGAGTACCGCGCTGAAAAACACACCCGACTAATAGCGTTAGCCGCGTATTTGCCTCTCGCTCACACTTATGTTTAGGTCGCGGTTTTTGTCGATATGAGTACTAGACTTATTTCTTGATTGAATTGTGCGGTCACACTGACATTCGATAAAAAGTTTTTATAAAACTGGAACATTTTGCGCTATTTATTTGATTTTGCAAATAGTTAGAATCTCAAATTCATTGTATTTACTTGATGTTTGCCTAATTATCATTAAATGGCTGGAGAGGATGCCGAGCTGGACAATTTTTCGTCCGCTGGGAGACATCTATCGAGGCCGGGAGAATGACTCTCTGGCGCTGATAAAAACCTGAATGAGTGGTCCGATACCAGAGTGATCGGCCATACATTGCTAAGTCCTCGAAAAATGTTTGTAGTGAAAACGGAATGTATTGAAAATAAATGAATAATATTAGAAAATTTTAAAGGGTTTTAATATCAATTTTTTACAATAATCAAAAAAGTAAAATCAAAACCTGTTAATATTGATATTACAAACATATCAATCCGATATGAAAAATTACATTTTTGTAATAGGTTTGTCACAAATTTGATGTGTGCGCATACCAATCTGGTATGAAAAATACCATGTTGATATGTTCGAAAATATCCATTTGACATGTTCAAAATATTATAACGATATGGCAACAAAAGGGACCAAAATTTAAATGCAAAAATATTTGATTGATGACCATTTTGGTATTTTCGTACTTTCTCTGCGTATGTTCATTCTCCTCATTTATATTCGTTGAAAATGGATTTAATATCCATTAATAATAATATATAATATAATAATAATAAGCTTTCTTTGCTGTTTGGGCTTGCTTTTATAGAAGCTCTTTATTTTTTTTAATAGTTAGTTTAGTTAATATTTTTAAGTTGAAATATCCATTTTTGAACCTCAAGATACCGTTTCAGATATATACCTTTTTGTCTAACGATGAATAATTCAGTAGGCAAACATTTTCGCAGATGAAGTTCTGTTTTCCATCACATGGAGCACTGTGCCACAAATTGTCTGATCCTAGGATCAAACAAGCGTCTTTGCCAGTCCGATCGGACTTGGGTTCATCTTTGGCCCACTGGGCGTAAGTCACGGGGATGCCAGTGCTCAGCCAAGTCCAGAAGTAGCTGCGCTCCACCATATTTGTGGCACCCAGCCAGAAAGTTTTGTTGCCAAAGATAATTTCTAAGTAAGGACAGTTAAGGAGTAGTCAAATTTACTTAAGACCAACCTTACCTTTACTATGTACGTAGTGAATCAGTAGCTGATGCTGTTCCTCATTTCTTACAGTTGCTAAAACGGCGCCCACTCTATTGCATATATAGTTAGCTTCCAGCCAGTTTACCTCAAAGATGAAAATATTTATTAAGCCAGAAGATCTGCAGTTGTGGGCACAACTCACCTCGGCGAAACCCGCCACAGAAAAATATGCATCGCACTGAATTAGCGGATTGCATTTTGGAACGAAAGTAGGCTCCACGTTGGTGCCGTTATTGAAAGCTATTACCCACAAAGGCAAGGTACAGATAATGAACAATTCGGAAAGCATACTGAATATATTTCCTTCAAAACCGAAGTCATTTATATGGCCTTGGCCATAAGATATGCCATTAAAAGTAACTCAAAAAGTCATTAAGACAACCCAATGCACCGAAACAATATCTACAAGGTGTGCACATTATATCTAGGAAAATATAAAATTTTATTAAATAGAAAACATTGTAAACGCTTTACAGCCTTGTTCAAAATGTCTTACAGCGCTAGGTACCTAGGCATACGCTCGGGCCTTGATGCGGCCATTCTTATCAGTTAATAGTTATTAAATATATACTTAGTGTTGCTTTTGCTATACAATACATTATTAAACAGGATCGAACACGCACTCGCACTAAGTCTAAATTAATTTAAATAAACACTGATGTGGGGAACCCAAAGTCTGACTCAAGAAGTATACAAGAAGTATACACCTAGTATAGTAGTGTGGAGATTGTACCTTAAGTTGTCTGACTCGAGTTGTTATGAATAAAATGATAGGGATAAATGGGTTTTATCCACTACAAAATTTTGAGTTCACAACGAAAATAATTACTGTGGCTTGTGTAAGAACATATAGTTGGATATTCGTTGAAAAGTGACGACAGAAACAGCTGCGATTTCTTCAAAGAAAGCCCTAACTTAAAATAAGTTTGACAAGAAAATTTGCTCTGCTCCCTCTATGTTTCTTTATACCTGGATGGGTTGCTTGCAATAGATGCCAAAAAAAGTAACCACCAAAACATTCAAAAAGTAATCTATGGACAATTCTGAGACATTTCGACTTATAGCACAAAACACTTTCGTTTTCAGTGAGCTGTTCTGTGAGACAAAATCAAGGTCTAAATACGTTCGATAAAAATATTTAGAACTCGAGGAAGCATTCAGTTTTTGATTATGCAAATTCTTTGTTTTAGTACTGTCCAAATACTATATTCCTTTTTGGTAAATCTTTTCTAAAGGGTCGACCCCCCACTTCTCTCCATACATTATAGAAATAATCCTGTCACTGGAAGTAGTCACCATACTGGTAGGTGGGCGGATGCTTTGACCCCTTCCCGTTCGGCTGGTAGAGATTGTGGTGCGAGGAGGAGCGGTAGGAGTAACTGGGCGTGGCAGGATCTGGGCGACTGTGGGCAGGCGAGTGGGTGCGTCGTGCCCTCCGCTCCTCAATGTTGGCCGGCCAACGCTGGTGGCGGTTGGTCGAATCCTCCGAGGACCGTCGTCGGTGGTACCGCTTAGCTGGGGGAACGGCTCCAGTGGAGGGCGACATAGCCACCTCCTGCTGATGGCGGTAGCTGCTGTCGTCGCCGCTGCCGGCACTTAAGGGCTCCGCCTGCCGTCGGACTCGCTCGTCCACTGAGGAGTTGGGCGTTCCGTGCAGGTCGATGACGTCGCCGTGCGAGTTGCGCCGCGCCCTCTGCATGTCCATCTCCAGTTCCTGGTGATAGTTCTCGTACGGAACCCTGCGCTGTCGCTGGCGCTGCTGCTGCTCGTGTGTATCTAGGCGCTGGCGCCACTCGGCTGCTGAAACCTGCTGGCCATAGAGCTCGGGCTGGGCCTGGAACACCTCTGCGCCACGTCCATAAATGTTCTGGTAGGAGGAGCGACGCCATCCGTCCTCGTATCTCCGACTCGGAGACTCCCGGACCACAGCTTCCTCCTCTGCGGAGGCAACCTGTTGCTGACGGCGCTGCGATCGACTGGAGCTGCTTTCCGAGGAGTCCTCTCCAGAGGTGCCCAGTCCCAGGTCTTTCTCGTCCACGCCGTAGGCTTTGTACGGGGCTCCCATGAAGCCCTTCGATCCATAAGGGCCGTTAATGCCCATGGTTGGGTATTGCATGTAGTAGGACTGCGAGAAGGGCTTCTCCAGGGTCCGGTGATCCAGGCTATCGTCCACTTCTGCGTCGCTACCGTCGTCCTTGCCCGTCCAGGTGAGACAGGATCCGGGCCCGAAGAGCGAGAGTAACACGGGCAGCAGGAAGAGACCGTGCATGGCTCCAAAGAAAATCACCAGGAAGACCATCTTGAAGAAGACCAGGAAGATGTAGCTCTGAGCCAACAGAAGGGCCACAATGCCTAGAATGGTTGAACTGGAGCCCTGCACAATAGGCAGACCAAGGGAGTGAAGGGCCTCGCGGACGCGAGCCTTCGGACTGCGTTTCTTCGAGGACATATACGTATAGCAGATGTGAGCGGTGAAGTCCACTGAGAAGCCAATGCACATGATCAGATTAATCATCGAAATGGAGTCCAGGTTAACGTCCCACAAGGCCATGTAGCCAGCAACGCCCAGCTCGATGGAGATGACCGAGAAGGCCACCCACAAGGAGCACAGGATGTTGGGAATAAAGACGAAGGAGATGATCATCATGATGATGGCCCCGATCACCATCGCCTGCAGTGAAACCGGTCGGACCAGCTCGAACTGGTCAAAGAACACGAAATAGGGATGGAATATCGAGGCGTTCAGTGGCGAGTCCTTGCAGATCTGGCGCAGATCCCGCACCATCTCCTTTTCGTGGTTGGTATCCGTGATGTTAACCGCCTGGATGAGAAATCGCGAGGCAATGATTTGGGTTTCGTCGTCGTTGAAGCGTACGTCCAGTGAGAAGGGATTTCCGGGGAACAGCCAGTGCTCCTTCACCGCATCAATGAATGTTTGCTCGTCGTCCACAGTCACGTTAAGCAGCTCGTTGTTGCGCTCCAGGAAGGATAGGAACGACCGCAGCCAGGACTCTGTGTACCGCCTGGAGGTCACGTACGAGGTGTGTTCCAGAGTACTAGTCAGGTTCTCCACCTGCTCCTGCACGAGGGGATCGGAGTAATTCAGCGGGCCAGCAATAATGACCTGCAATTTCAATAAATCAGAACGGAACAAGCGTTAAGTCTACTACAGAGCTGTTGAACAATGTGCTTAAAGGCCCACCTGCATTCTGTATGGAAACTCGCGGTAGTACTCGTCCTCGCGATCGAAAAACTCCACCGAGTACGAGTCCTCCCGGGAGAGCTTTCGCCGTTCGAGGCCCTCCTTTATTTGGGTTATTCCGTAACAGGCGCCCACCAGGTAACTCGCAAAGGCCAAGATGATGACCGCCTTGCACCACTTGTTGTTGATTACTGCGGCCAGCTTGTCCTTGAAGAACGCCATCAGCATGTGGTCCTTGTTGTCGATGGGGTTGTCCGGATCGTTGGGGTCGATGCCACCCGCCATGATCGCCTTGTAGAGGAAGTTGCGCTTCTCTGCGGGACCAAAGAATCGATAGAAAGAAGTGGTGTGAGACAAGTTTCCATTGGCCTCATTTGTGGTCAGCACAATGTCTGACTAGTCAAGTTGTTTCTGTCTCATGATCAAGTTCATGTTGCAGCTGCTGCTAAGCCATCTGAAATCGAACTACTACTATCCGGTTGTGGTGCTGTCTACATTTCGGATGGCTTAACTAGATCTTGCAGCATGCACACTAGGGCGGACATATTGATTTCTACTCTTGGGAATGTCATAGTTTTAATATTTCCGAGTTTCGAATGAAATTTAAAAAAACGGAATGTTTTCGGTAAATATATACGGTAGTAAATTGAAATAAAACATTATCATAACATTTCCGTTATTTTTTGTAGTTTAAAAATTCGGAAAGCTAATATGGGAACGACCTGCAAGAAGCTTCGTCGTCATTTTTGCAATATCTTTGTCTAAACCTTCATTTAATAGACTATAACTTGTAAATGCGAGTTGCTTAATGCTAACATAGCCTTTGATCTTCAAAGTTATAAAATACAATCGCTTTTTTAATGTGAACACCATACGTTGTACACTCAACAAAAATATTTAAGGCAATAACTCATTTGAAAATAAGACTCCACGCGCTTGCAGGACAACAATAGGAACAATGATTCCCTCGGTTCACTAACCTTTAATTGCAACCGACATTGGCTGGACCCGGCAGCCGAAAATGGAATGCAAATTCTTTCGCTCCCTGTAGCCCGAAATGGCCATGCAGGCGGCGAAGAAAGTGATGTGCCACAGGAACGTAAAGCAAACTGCGAACACCGAGTACGTGCAGAAGATTCTGACCGATCGAAAGGGGCTGATGATGCCGATCAGGAACGAAATGAAGTCGGTGACCGAAGTTATTGTGATCGACACGGCTGCCTCGGACATCATAAGGCCCATGCGTTCAGCCACCGGCATTTTGGCCTTGGTGCGCCGCCAACCCGCCAGCATTACAAAGGTGTCATCGATGCCGATGCCTGTGGTGTAGATTTGTGAATTAATAGGACGGTCTTGTGGAAGAGGATGCTTATGCCAAACATACCGATCATCAGGAATGGGGCAGCCAGATTGATGCCGATGAACTCAATGCCGCAATACATAGCCAGGCCAAAGGCTGCCAGGGTGGCCATAATGGCCGAAATATTGCCCATGAGACCCAAGAAGGGCTTCGAGCGAACTGCATCGCCCATCATGCAGGTGATGATGCTGAATATTTGGAAGTTAAACCGATTATGTATAGCTTTAAGTGCCAGCGACAACTGCAGCCACTTACCTGAAGAGACCCATGAGCAGAAAAGTTGAGCTGAAATAGGGCACCACGGTTTTCGTATTCTTCTCGAGTTCGTGGTCCAAAGTGCGGGAGGCAAAATACGAGACCGAGATGTGCTTGAAAAGGCCCGAGTCCTCGGCATTGCCAACTACCCTCAGGAAGGTCTCTTCCCATTCGGCACCCCTAATAAGAACATATTAGTGTCGGTATATTTATGGGAGATATTTGTACTCACTTTGCGTCCTGCCGTTTGGTGTCTGCGGTGACGAAATACACCAGCTGTATGGCCGGAACACTGATCACTATGTTGTCCTCAGTCAGCTTGGTGCCGCCAAAAAAGACGGGAAACAGGTGGGCATCCCACGTGACTGGATTGAACATGAAAGGAAATGTCAAATTCAGCTGACCCGATTCGATCTGAAAGCAAAGAGGACAAAAATCAATTTGAAGCGTTCATGGAAAGAACGTCAATGGTAAGATTTAAGAGTAT